TCCCAGAAGGCTCTGGCCCCCTCTCTGCCTCTGATACAGAGCCCTCATCAGAGCCTTCCCCAGACTCCAGGACTGGCCCATGTTCCTCCCCAACCTCCTCACTGTCCGAATCTACTGCCAGTTCTGCTGGTGGGCCACAACAGGTGTCGAGGCTGGTGTTCGGGACTTAAGTGATCCCTATTTGTCAGAATTGCCACCTCATGCCGGCTGTTCAGTACTGGTCTGATATGAAACCCGGGGATGGGTGGGTGGTGTTGAGAGGAAGGGGGAGTGCTGGTGGTGGCGGTGGGGGGGAAAAGCTACAAAAGTGAAGGTGGCTCTTTGAGATGGCGTTCAAGAAGACCTCACTATGAGAAGAAGGCAGCTGTGAGCCAGGCTAAAATCAGAGTGGCTGTTTCAAAAACATCTTGGAGATTGATAGGACGATTTTGGGGGGGGGGGCACCAGGAATAGGATGTGTGTAATAGCAATAGCACCTAGACTCTTCACACTACTTTACAGTCGTCTCTTAAGTCCCCAACAATCTGGGTCCTTATTTTACCGACCTCAGAAGGATGGAAGGCTGAGTCAACCTTGAGCCAGTCAGGATCGAACTCCTGGCCGTCAGCAGAATTAGCCTGCTGTACTGCATTCTAATCACTGTGCCACCAGGGCAGGGAAAAGTATTTTTCGCTTAGGGAATTGGCGCATGCATTTCAGTTCTGCCTTTGCATTACAGGTAGTCCTCAACTCACGACCGCCATTGACGCCCAACGTCTATGTTGCTAAGTGAGAAATTTGTTAAGTGAATTTTCTCCCATTTTAGAACTTTTCTTGCCGCGTTGTTGGTTAAGGGAATCACTGCAGTTATTAAATTGGTAACATGGCTGTTAAGGGAATCTGGTTTCCCCATTGATTTGGCTTGTCAGAAGACTGGATAAGGGGATCACGTGACCCCCCCCCCCGGTGATCACTGCAACCGTCATAAATGTGAGTCAGTGTCCACGCATCCGAATGTAAATCATGTAACCAACTATGAAGATTCTCAGTCCTCCAGGTCATGGTCATCCCGAAGAGGCAATGGGACTTTCTGGTTTTTCTCTGGAGACCTTTGTCTCCAAACGTCTGAACTGAAGAAGCTTCTTGGATGAGAAGCAAAAGGTGTTCAAGANTTCTTTTCATTAAACTAGACATACCCAATTCCAGCAACTGTTCTTCACGTTTTAGCCTCCAGTTCCCTAATAGTAGGGCCATATCCTTTACTGCAGAGTTCCCCAACGTTTCTGGCTTTGCAGAACAGCGGGAGGGGATGCGGTTGTTTGACTGGCAGCGTGTGGCAACAATTACATAAGCAGCCTGCTGTTCACACAAATGGAGCGCGCGAGCATGCACTCAATCCTTTGCTCACGCAAGGATGTGCACTTGCCAGCCATTTCCATGTCCCAGCTGCAAACACCATCAGGGCCCACTAGTGGGGCTGTGTCCCACAGGTTGTGGACCCCGGCTTTACTACATGAACATAGGCGACCAACTTTCCTTGTCTGGGACAAGGACATATTTTTATTGTTTATCTCTGCAGATGCATTGCAAAACCTCTTAGAGGTCAGAATAATGGAGTGAGAACTTCCCAGGATGGCCAAATGGATCCACAGTCCAGCCAGCATGTCCCTCTCACTGGGTGTAGAGGCTAGCAGCAAAGACAATGTCTCTCTTGATCATGTTGGAGGCGGCTTCCATCTTTGCGTGCAGGGTCGGCTCCCCCGTCACCCGAGCAGCGTTGCGCATCTCGCGACAGGTTTCATCCAGGCGCTGAATGCAGCGGACGATAATGCCTTCCTGCACATCGGTCAGGTGGGCGATCTCGGCAAAGGGCTGAGGGCAGAGAGGAAAAGGAAAATGTTGTTCTGACCGAGGCTTCCCAAGAGCATGAAGCAGCCTCCTTGTCCCGACAAAAAACCCTTTTATTAATTGACTCTGAATTCTGCTCATTCACATCCATCAAAGTCTTTCCAGGGAGGATTTACAGTCACGGACCTTATCTGTCTTGGAGAGCTGCCAGGCAGATATCTTCAAAACTTGGCAAGGAGTCTCGGAAAGTCACGAAAGAATTAAGTGAACTAATTGTCTCCTGCAAACTCCACTCCCCTTTCACTTTTATTTCCTCTAGGAGGGGCCATTCATCGTCTGGCCTTACTCCCAAGTTGACCCCTGTTCCTTAGCTGTTCCCTTCATCTGGCAACTCTACACATGCACACGCTGGGAACAGGCTCCAGCTGTTTGTCTGCCTCACTGATGTCTGGTTCTGAAGGCAGCTGATAACTGGCATACGGCTCTGGCCCCCTCTCTGCCTCTGATACAGAGCCCTCATCAGAGCCTTCCCCAG